GATAAGACATATGATTTGTTAGGGATGTAAATTAAAACTGTCTTGAACACAAAACAAAAATTTATAAGGGTTGTTGGTATGAGCTTTTTATTTCTGACTTTTACATAAAAATTAAAATCTAAAAACTTTTCCTTTTAAAATAAAAACTGTGATTTAACAAAAAAAAAAGTTTCACTATCGTGGTTTTAAAAAAAAAAAGAAGTTTGAAGAGTAAAAGTAAATTTGGTAAAATTTTGACTTTTAAAACTTTAAAATAATAAAGTCTTTATAGCCAAATACCAAGCAGTCCTATAGTCTTTCCACTGTCGTAACAACCAATAGACTAAGCTTTATTAAAAATTGTATACTGAAAACACGCTTTTAATAGATTAAGTTATGATAAAGCTCACTAGACTCTTTAACTCGACTTTTGGAAAGTTAAGACGTATAGGTTATCAAATACTAGTTCTGCCAATATAAAAAATTTTTGAAGAGTATATTAACCTAAAATCAGATACTAAATGTGTGGTAAAGTAATCATGCATTGAAATCCAATAAAGATGAAGAACCGTATGAATATCCCTTTTTAAAGATTCATCATATCAATATCAAAATATGCACCCATGGATATCCTTCAACCTAAAAACAAAGTACTCATTTATGATGCACAAAAAGCAGCAAGTATGAACAGATATATCATGATGAAAATACTTGTATTAAAAAAGTACGGATGAGAAAAAAATTCTATATTGGAGTAAAAACACGAAATATTCACCTTGAAACTCTTAGAATCCAAAATCAATAAAAACATGTAAAAGCTAACAAGGAGAATGTTACTGCCTTTCAGGTCTTTATTCTAGGGTTGCTCTATGTTTAATGAGGCTACAAAAAAAATATAGCCCTAAAGTCTATAAGGGTTATCTTAAACCAAAAAGATAGTTTTTGGTTGGCGCAGGATCACCAAGGTTCTGTGCCGATCTCATGGGCTAGGCTCGGGCCTCGTTTGGACACGTCTTCAGAAAAATTAATGTATCTTTATGACCACTGCTCCAAATTCCTCTAAACTAATTCCATATGAAAGATGCCTCAACCCACTATCTTCGTACTTATTTTCATCTTGATCCATTAAAGGGAAGGCATCCAACAAAGGGAAAACTTCTGGTGCGTGCAGTCCTATTGAAAAAATCCACACTTCTTGGCGTCTAGGTACTTGTCGATCTTTTGGACTTGGAAATATGTTTTGGGTGTGATCTTCTCCTTTTTGCTTCCATTTTTCAATCTGTTGATGATTTTACTATATATTTTTTCCACTACCCAACTATTACAATCACATTTGGCCCATTAAGTTGTCGGATGACCATCTTTGACCAGTTCGGTATGATTGATTTGGGAAAAAATAATTCCTCTTATTCGACCTTCTTTTGCAAGACTATCCGCTCGAACATTTAGACTTCTCGGAATATGGGATAAAGTGAAATCTCTGAAGCTCTCGCGAAGGATACGGAAGGATTTCAGCTCTGCCATAAGAGACGGCCAATCTCCCGGGGATTTAGACATGCTGATGATTTTACTATATAAAGAGTTAATTTCCGTCTACAAATATGAGAAAACTATCTCAAAAAGCACAAAACCCATTAAAAATGCTTAGATAAAGTACGAAAATCCATTTAAAAACATTAAAACATAGAGTAGATCACCAAGAAACAACAATGTATAGACAAGATATATCGCATTTATCAGATACAAGCAGGTTGCTGAATATATTTCAACTTGACAGATTATTGTGTGGATGTGATAGTCCAACCCAAATTCATTTGCCTTCTCATATCTCGGAGTCGCACATGAAACTCCATCTCCAATCATGTGCATCGAGCAGTTAGCCCAACAAGGGCGGGAGTTACTCATCAAGCTCAATCCAAGATGCCGAGGGAATTCAATGTGGTCAAATGTTTTTTCTTTAATATTTTGATTGATTTTATTAATGAAATTCATAATATTTTTGCAGGGTTTATTTCGATTAACAGGATTAGGAAGCCCATTTTGACGAGGTTGCATTCGATCCTCGGAAAAAAAAGAAGTTTTTGGACATGCCGTCTGACAGTAAAAATATTTGATTTGGACAATTTATAGTAAAGTTTTGATTACTCTTAAGCTTTTAAATTTTTTATATGTTATTCATAATTTTGATAAGTGTTTTTTTTCGTTTTCTTAGCAAGAGATTACATGGCATCATACCCACACATGACGATGGTGGATCCAAGTTTCTAAGGAAAGCGACTACGCAGTTCTCCAGAAACATGAATAAGTGGAAGCAAAGGTGGAGAAAAAGGTAAGACAAACCAAAACGCTTGAACGCCTCAGTTTGGAAAGGATACATCCCATATTAGAAAAACTGCGAGACAGAAAAAAAAACTCGAAGGAGTGAACGATCTGGTAAGGGGATGTACATCCACAACTCCGATTCGACCATTTTCTTGAGCCAAGAATAGCAAGTGGTAATCTTTTATTTTTTACATTGTTTTCTATATATAACTGTTATATTTATATTAGTTCTTAACATTACTCAAACTTAGCTATATGTAGTGTCCTATTCAGATTTGGTGGCCTTATATTCTGGGTAGGAGGTTCATTAGACAAACGGATCATCAGAGTCTTTGCTATTAGCTGGAACAACAAATATCACTCCAGAACAGCAAAAATGGCTGGGAAGTAAGTGGAGTTTGATTATGAGATTGAATACAAGCTCGGAAGACGAATTTAGCAGTATATGTGTTATCTAGTGTTTCTGGTAGTCTGCAATTGGATGCTATTTTTCTGCCTCAATCTTATATCTGGGACGACATCAAGCAGCCAGAAAAACTGATCATTATATGTTTCACACTGGAAAACTCGCAACAGACAATCCCTACAACCCTCATTCTTGGAAATACGACTGGATGTGCTATCATAATCATGTCTTCGTTCATCCAGGCTCACTTCTCATCCAATCTCTCCTCAAAGAGCATCACAACACACCCACGGGAGGTCATTCAGGTGTTCTACGTACTTATTGCCATCTTGCATGCCAGTTTAAGGGGCATCGATGCACAGGATAATAAATGACTTTGTAGCACCTTGTTCTGTTAATTCCTTCCAATGTATGGGAAGATATCTCTATAAACTTCATTGATGATTTACCATGTTCAGATGAGACGAACTCGATTATGGTCGTGGTTGATCGTTTGAGCCAGTCAGAACACTTTAACTGTGGCATTGGCACATCTTTATACAGTTTGGAGTGTTTCTGCAAACTTTGTAGAATCAGTGGTTAAACTCCATGGTGTCCCGCAATCAATTATGAGCGATCATGATCCTGTTTTTGTCAGCTTGATTTGGTGTGAGTTTTGGAAGCTATGAGGTACATCTCTTAACATGTCAACAACCTATCCATCTGCAGTCCAACGGCCAGACGTAGGTCATGAAATGTTGTATAGAGTAGTATCTTTGATGCTTTCTTCACCATCGACCAAAACAGCCGAAGGAGTTCCATCCTTGGGCAGAATTGTGGTACAACTCCACCTTTCATGCTTTCTAGCTAAGAATGACACCATTTGAGGCACTATACAGCAGACGACCTATTCCAATTCCTGCATATGAAGTGGGTTAATCTCTCAGTGATGAAATTGATGAGCAATTCTAGGATCGAGATGAATTGCTTTAAGAATTCAAGGAGCATCTCAGCAGTGCTAACGATCATATGACATAGTTTGCGAATTTAAAGCGGCAGGATATGATTTTTGAGGAGGTGATTGGGTATTTCTTCGCCTTCAACCGTATCTTAGAAAATCAGTGCTGCGTCGATCCTCCCATAAACTCTCACACAAGTTCTATAGTCCATTTCAAGTGGCGGCTCATGTGGGGCAAGTCGTGTATCGTCTGCTTCTTACCGGAGGTACAACAATTTATCCTGTTTTCCATGTTTTCTTGCTTAATAAATTATTAAAAACTGAGGAGCCAGTGATGGGTACTTTACTGCCATTATGCGAGAATGAAAACTTGTTGTAGCCGGTAAAAAATCTTAAGCATCATTAGGTATACAATGGGTTGAAACATGTTCGTAAAATGTTGTTTCAATGGCATGGATTATCAGTGGGAGATGTTACATGCAGTGGGAGATGTTACATTCGAGGATTCAAATACAATTGGAGTCAAGCTTCCTAGGTTTCAACCAGAAGGTTCTTTTTCAGGACGAGAGTATTAATAGGAGTGTGGAATATGAGAAACAGACCAGACCGATAGACCGGTTCGGTTGCCCAAACCAAAACTGAAGTATCTTTGACTTTGCCTTTCTATCATTTTGTTTCTGCAAATAATTTGGATAAAATCTTTTGACTTAGTCCAGTCTTAAGTTTCAGTTGTTGCAAATAATTCCGAGCACTTCTCCACAAAGTGTTTCAAAGTTGTTGTTATTTGTTTCCACCTTTGTAGGAACTGAGGTTCCAATCTTTTTTATTTAAGTAATGAAAAACCAAAAAAGAAATAGTCAATTATTACTACTCAAAAGAAACCTCTTCTGTCTAAGTTTCTATATTTGTCTTGTGCTTAAAAGCTTTGATCGGATTCTTAGCTTAACAATAGCATGGTTGTGAATTCATTAATAGTGCTTTGATGAATTTTCAAGGAATTAACTAAAAAGTGTTAATTAAATAAATCGGCAAATTTAATATTTGATAATAGAAACTTCAACCTGAGTTACAGATCTCGGAAACGCTTTTTCACTCAACAACATGTGCCTCAAAGGGATTTATCCTTAAAAATCGCGTACTAGGAGAAAAGCGAGAGAGAAAGATCTAAATTTTGGCAATACATTCATGTTTCGATTAAAATAACTAAAAAAGGGATTGTAACTTTTTATTTATTATGTATACGAAATCCACAATAACATGTCATCAAACGCATGTTATTAGAAATGACAAATCGAAAACAAGAAACAGCTATTAATAATTATTATTATTTCCTTGATAAAGATCAACTATCAATTGTTAAGCATGTCGTTCGGTCCATTCTCGAGCTCTCTGGTTAAACTGAAACCGGTTTTTCTTAAAGAGCTCTCCAATCTCTGGTACGAGAGGATCATCCGGGTTTGGATCCGCCAATAGTGAAGTTATGGACAAAAGGGCCTGCTTATTCATTTATTAACTCTAATTAAAAAAATAATAATACTTAAAATACATAAACAAAAATATTTGATATATGAATCAAGTTGCAAACCTTTTCAACGGTAAGAGAGGGATTCCACTTGTCTTTAAGAATGTCAAGACATATCGATCCTTGAGAATTGATATTTGGATGGTATATCGGAGTTTTGAACGTACACTGTAACAATTAATTTAAAAAAAAAAACAAAACAAAACGTAAACATGTTTATTTTAATATATTACAGAAACTTAAATATCAATTTCTTATCGTACTGTACGTAACCTTGGGTCCGCTGAAAGGATAATCTTCAGGAAAGTTAATGTCGATACGAAACATGCCACCGACGTACGGAGTACCCTCCGGACCTTGAATCATTGCTTTCCATTTGAACAAATCGTTCGAATCCCTACCTATATATACATATCATCGACAATAGTGTTATTATTGTTTGAGAACATTTTTGTATAAAATTAAATTCATGTGGTTATAGTTATTAACTAAGATATTAATTAGGGTATTAGCACGCACGAGATAGTCATTTTCTAGCGGCTTATTTGCAAAAATATAGTGTGTTGAATTTGCGTATATTTTAAACAATTGTAGCATTTTATTTATTTTGATGGCAAACTACTTTACACAATCTGAAATCAACATTAATTAATTTAAAAAAAAATCATTTACTTACAAAGTAATTCATATTAGTTTTGCAAATAGGCTTTGAGAAAAATGCTATATATCTAATCAACCCTAAATAAATGTGAATAGCATTGTTATGAAAAAAAAAATATATATATACGAACCGATGCTGTACAGATAATCTTTCGAAGTCATATCCTTGAATTCCCTCTCAATCCTGTCAATCCTTTTCATTGCATTCCTTTTATCATATGAAATGAAATAATAAGACGACTGTCGTAGTTGAAATAATCTATTATATTAAAACAGAAATATATTTAGTATTTGCTTCCAAACATTCTTAATTTTTTTAAGTGTTTAAAAATAATTTTAATAATTATTTATATTTAATTTCGAAAATTAGTTATTAATTTAAATATTTTTAGAGTTCCTTAAATATAGGTAATTTAGATTTGATTTGATTTGATTAAAATAATAAATCAGATATTAATTTAGATTTGATTTAAAGATTCTAATTTAAATAATTTCTATACTATTAAACATTTTTATCAAAAATATCTAGAATTTTTTAAAACAAATAATTCACATAATAAAAAATAATGGTCATATTTGAAATATAAAATATTTATAATGATGTAAATGATATGATATTTATGTTGCTTATATAATATATTTACGATTATGATTTATTTACAAATTAATAATAAAATAATAGGTAAAATTCAAATGTATAATTTAAATATTAAAAATATTTTTTTAAAAATTCATAGAATTAAAAATATATATAAAAACCGGGTTAAAAATATTTTGGTAACTAAAATCACTAATTTTAAATTATACATGTATATTGAAAATATATTTTTCATACAAAATAAAAACATAAAAAAATTAAAAATTATTGCATACACTATAATGTGGTTTGAAAAACTAGTTCTACACTCCCTTCGTTGATTAAATTTTAGAAAACTATAATGCTAAATAATACTGTTAATACATCTCAAATTTTTAACAAATATTGAACGGAAAAGTTAAAATTATGTTTTTATAATAGTTCATTTTGAATTAATATTAGCGGACGGGTTAAAATTATAGTTTTATAATCATAATTAATTTTAATACTATAAAAATATATATAAACACAAAAATCAAAATTTTCACTTATTAAAAAATATATTTATAAAAATAATTATATCTAAACAATAACACAAATTATATTACAAAATTCGTTAAACAATAAAAAATATTCTCGTGCGGATGCACGGGGTTAGAATCTAGTTTGGATTAAAATGGATTGTTATTAAGCGCTTACTTGGAAAATGTTATTATGAATTGTGTTGGAATCAAATGAAAGGGTCTCGGGCTTTATATATTCACAAAATAGAAAAATATTAAATGTCTTCATAATTTTGAAATCTCATGCCAACTAAAGCATGTGGATATCATCACTATTGATATCAATGCTTTTTAATCTGTATATAAACACAAATGTAAGTTCAATTAATAATATGTTATAAAAATCATATGCTTTAAAAAAATCCAGATAAATTTACTCAAAAATTAACTAAAAGAAACTATCAACAATAGCTCTAGGAATTCGGGTATTCGGTTTATGTAAGTACTAATCAGTTCTAAGTCTTTAGGGTCTATAGGGTTTGGACCCATATAAGAACCAATAGGCTTCAGTTCGATTTTGATTTATATCTACTCGGTTCTGATTCAGATCGGTTCTCATTTTCAGAAACGGTAAAAATCTAAAAATAATTTGGATAACATTCGGTTTGGTTATTTTGTATCTAAAACCAAATATATATATATATATATATATATATATATCAGAAATGATAACTTACCCAAAATGTAACCAATATAACTGAATTTTGATACAATTTTTAGACATTGACACATTGTCTTAACACAACACAAAAATTACAAACGCAAAGCATGAAAACAACAACAACTCATCCAAAGTTCAAATTCGACATCCAAAGTACTTGAAAAAGTTGAAAATGTCGAGAATAAACATTGTTATCAACTGATTAAAGATTCGAAACATGGTAGATAGCATTGGTGTTGATACCTGATACTTGAATATCTGTAAGTTATTTATTTATTTTATAATTAAATAACTCATAAAATAATGGGTTATGTTCGCTTTCAAGATTAGTGTTATATATGTCAAAAGAATTACCAATTTTTTTTGTTCTGTCCAAATTGTATGGTTTTGTTCCAAACATATTCTCTTGAAAATTGAACCGATATTGCATCTTCCGCTTTAAGTTTTTGGTTATTCAGGGGTTACCTTTGATAAGTGGAGTGCATTTTGTTTTTCAAAATTATTAGTGGAGTCCATTTTGATATAATTATTTCTTAAAAAGAAAAGATCTTGCACAAAACAAAATATATAGAAATTTGAAATGACATAGTGTTAAATAAAACAACCTTTGATAAAATTAGCAGTTATGTAAATATATACAAATTAAAAAATTAAAATAAAAAATATACAACCTTACAATTTATAATTTTTCAGATTGTAACATTTTTAAAATCAGCAGTTATATATAAAAGCTTACAAATTAAAAAAATCTAAAAATCGCAACTATACAATTTGGTAGTTTTTCATATTATAACATTTGATAAAATTAGTGGTTATGTATGAAAATATATAATAGAAAATTAAAACGAAAAGACAACTGTATAATTTTATTTTTCAGATTTGAAAAGAAAATAAGTTTTAAGAGAATTAACTTTTGATAAAATTACCGGTTCTGTACGAAAATGTAAATTTAGAAAGAAAAAAAGATATAACACTACAATTCGTAATTTTTTATTATAATTTTTAATAAAATTAGTGGTTATATATGAAAAGATATAACAAGAGAAAAAAACCAAAAAAGACACAACAATACAATTCAGTAATATATTAGATTGTAACATTTGATAAAATTAGTGGTTATGTACGAAAAAGAACATTAAAAGAAAATTAAAAAAATAAAGCACAACTGTAGAATTCAGTCTTTCAAACAGTTAGTATTAATAGACATCTACTTATTGGTGTAGGAATAAAAAATTTGGATAATGAAATTATCGTTTAATGTAAAATGTATGTCCATTACGATATACATATTCTTGAAATTAAATAGAGTTGGGTGTCCAATATTTCGGTTCTATTTTGTAAGAGAATTTTTGGTCCTTGATTTATTCGTATACATATATGTTTAAATGGTATCAACTTATATTTTGATTCGGTTTGGTTATACAATATATTTGAATGCAATGCTGAAGTTTGTAACAGACCTAAAACCAAAGAATGATCAAAGCTGGGGTTTACATTCCCTTAAAGTAAGGCATTTCAGTAGAAAATGAAAGGGTCTGGTTTTACAGAACTACATAGAGAAGAACAGAAAATCAACATTCAAGAAGCATATTTTTTTCAAAGATCCTACTATACTTCTCAACACAGTTTAAACCGCAACATTGGGCGATGCTGGATACTCTTCATACCCTGTGATTCCTGTAATCCTAATCCTCGTATTTGGCTGCATTACCAAGACAGAAATCACAATGTAAGTGTCCTTATTTACGGTTTGGCAGATTTATCGGGCGTAGCAAATTACAACAACTAATTGATACAAGTTGTGGATGGGAACACAATAGTATCTATGTATATAGCTAGAGCAATTTCAAGAAGGCGAAAGCGAATTCATAAACAATGGAATACCTGTCGGTGACCGATATTTCTACGGTACTTCTTCTTTGGTTTGTACTTGAAGACTACGACTTTATCATTCAGACCCTGCAGCAAATTATGGTCATCATAAGTTGGGGTCGAAAAGACAACACATGAGAAACATAAGAAAGACTTTTGTATTTGATTGAATTACTTGATTTTCCACTACGGCATGTACAGTGGCATTGGTCACGACCGGTTTGCCGATGTAAGTGTGTGTTTTTGTGCCCACAAGTAACACTTTGTTCAGAACAATCTGCAGAAGAGGAGAAGTAGAGATGAAAACTCCAGGAATCACCAAAAACCAACAGAGAACAAACCAACAGTGTTACACAGACTAAAATGTGTTCTTTCGTTTTGGTTTGAAAGTTTATAAATCTTCTATAGTTACACCATCTTTTACAAAAAGAATCAATCAGCCCATAAATTTTCGAACTGAGGAGAAATAGACGAAGTCAACTACTTAAAATGAATGTGCATCTACCTGATCATCGACATTTGCATCTTTCAGTCTCTGAGTGTAGAGATACCTTCCTGGAAAAACTATGTATTGGCGTCCACCAACCTGTTGAATCGAAGAGAACACCCAAACTATATCAGAGATATCAAATGAGAAAAAGCAAAACTCACAATACACAAAAAGCCAGAAGGCCTACAACTAACTCAAGCAAAATGACTTTGACTGAAACTCTATAAATCAATCAAAGCTATTTGCGAGTCAAACTGTTCTTATTGATAAGCTCCAGCCAAACTGTTCTAATTAATATGTTCTAAACCACAAAATCAGAAGGCCTAAACATAACTCTTAAGAGCAAAATACCACAAACACACAGTCTCTCTTATGAACAACTCTAATTCAAACAAAACAAATTCAAAGAAAACTCATTCAAACTAACCAAAACTTGTTGCAAATCCTAAACCTACAATCCATAATGTGAAAGGCTTTTATAAGAAAGCCAGACTGTTTTTATTGGTAAGCTCTCACTAAGTCACAAAACTACAAGGCCTAAACCTAACTCTTAAGAGCAAAATGCCACAAAAACAAAGTCTCTCATGAACAACTCTAAATCAAACAAAACGAAATTCAAAGGAAACTCGTCCCAAGTTAACCAAATCTAATTGCAAAATTCCAAAACTATAATCGAAAATTTGATAGTTGTTTTTTCGTTTTATTCATCAGCTTACCATAACAACAGCGAAAATCTCTTCTCGTTTAGGCTTGTCCTCCGCGACATCGGAAACCACTACAGCTTCAACATCGGTAGTTTCCGGCTTAGCCTCAACGACTGATTCGGCGAATTTCGGAGCGACGGGGAATGCAGGTCGAGACGTCGACGCAGTGGAAGGAGAAAGGAACCCAATCACAGGTTTGACTAGATTAACCGAAGGTTTAGAGATAGAACCAAGAATAACGCTCGAACGGCGAGAGGCAACATTGCAATGAGAAGAGAAAGCAGAGCAGAGAGAGAGCGTCGCTGAGGAAGACGCCATGTTTTTCGCAGAGAGCTCTAAGCTCAAAACTTTGAAGCTCGAGAGAGAATAAATTGCAGTTATCCTATCCACTTACCTTTAAATTACGAATGTACCCTTGTCTTCTAGTTGGTACAATGGTACAGTATCAATTAGAAAGAAAAATATAACGCGATCGAGGAAGTCAAACCAAAATAACTAAACCTACACCGAACCGAGATTTATTTATAAATTGTTTGGTTTTATAATTTTAAAATCAGAAAAATCGATACCAACTGATTTCACTGTTTTTTTTAACATCTATCTTTATTAACTAGGTATCTGTCCACGGCGCGCGGACACAATCAACATACAGATCTTATTATAATTTGATTTTAGAAATTCTTGTAATATAATCATCACATTTTTATATTCAATAATTGAGACTAAAATATTGTATAAACATAAATCATAAAAATACTAAATATCTATTATTATTATTATTATTTTAAATCGATTAATATCAATCGTATATTAGATTATTTAAAATCATATGTACCTATTAAGTAATATTATAATAAACAACTACCAAATATAATTAGTAATAATAATAAAAAATAATTCAATTATAGATGAAAAATATAATAAAAAGATATCAAAAGAAATAATAAGATCCAACACGCAAGTTTTAAGTTATATAAATATTTATACAAAGAAATTAAGAGAACACTATTCCATTAAGTATTGTTATATATATTTGGTTTAGGAGTGCTTTTTTATCCTTGTTCCAACTTGTGTCTAAAATGTGTTCCACCTCTCCCGAATCCTGGAAATGTAAAAGACATATACTTATTGTAAGATTGTTGTATATACAAAATTCTCCAATTATCATTTTCACATTACTTACTTTCTCTTACAAATCATGGCATCATCAGTGTTAGGATCAAGGAGAAGACAGGAAAAACCAATTGCTTCATGTGAATGGATAGTTATTTCATCTACACGCATAAAATGATTTATAGGAAATATACATGCAATAGAAAACATATATGGGACAAAATGAAAATAATAATGACATATGCTTGATTATCCATATCTTCTTTTTTATTTACACTCCAATCGGTTAAAACAGAAACCGCGAAAGGACCAGTAAATCCTTTGGTTCTTTCTTCGATATCAGCGACACATTCTCCGTATGCGATACATTTCAACTTCACATCCCTTTGATTTAAACAATTTAAATTACAAACTTTGTTACCAAGACATAGTGATCGTGAGAGAAAATATAGCTTACTCGATATCTGTGATGGTGAAAGTTATTTTCTGAACAATCTCTCCATCAGGGTTATTTTCTGTTTCAATGTTGCTAACATTTTCCATCACACCAATGAGATCTACAAATCAATTATGAGAGAAAATTTTATCATAAATGAACTTCATATATTTTTTTTTCTACATATGTACAAATTTATAGATGAAAACACTAAAACGAATATTATAAGTTAATCTTACCAACATGATACAATTGAGCGTAAGAAACTCTGTATATCTCACTAAAAGGGATCCATTGTCAACGGTCGTAGGCTTGAGACTTCTGTCTCAGTAGTGAGAACGATATGATAATTGTGTCTCGTTGTCATTCTCTCAATCTTCCATTCAAATGATATCAAGCCAAATTTATACAATTCAAACCACGGTCCTTCAGTCCCAACACGGTAAAAATATGGAAATGCGAGGTTACCACATGAAGCATTAATTCTGCAACCCTATATACAATGAATTTTGAAAAGAGATCAAACAAACAATTAATATAGACAAAACAGTTATATATTCATATTAGATAATACTTACATTTTCGTCGACTAAAATGAAATTCATCCCTGGTAAGCCTTGTCAATCAGGTTTATTCCATCTTTTCAAAACTTTGACAAGGATTTTCCAATCTCGTATCGATGCATGTAACTCATCAACAGATTTATATGTAGCTATGGGGATAATGTTTTGAAAAAATCAAAGAAATCAGTAATTTAAACCGAAATTAGAATAAATTATTATTTATTAATAATTGCAAAACAGACTTGTAAATATCAAAAAATATGTCTAACAAAACTAATAATGCATATAGATTATCAATTTTGAATCCTTATACTCGGTCAAATCCATTAGACACCATTTGTATCCAGTCCATCTAATCTCTCCCTAATCCTGAAATTTTAATAACAAAAAACAGATATACATAAGGTTGGCAAATTACTGTTACGCAATTTAAACAGATCTAAATATTGTTTTTTCTTCTTCATAAATCAATTTAGTCAACGCAAAGAAACATACTTACCAATTGTGCAAGGTTAAAATTTCAGCAATCGGTGAATCAGTGATAAAACGGGACACACCATCATCATCATGATCTTTGATAGACACATTCTCTAAAATATATATATTAGAATATTGTTACATTATATACTACGATTTTATAAATAACATATTGATATATCATCAGAAAACAAACATACCTCCGTCAATTGCTACACACCAATCGGTTAACACACATATAGTAAAAGGACCTTCGTATTCTCTACACTTATCTCTTATTTCAGTTGCCAACTCACCGTGTGCAACACACTCAAGCATAAATTTCCTATATTTTGACAAACTATGTAGGTAAGAATTAGTTAGTTAGACTTCAAACATATAGTTTGAAATATACTTACTCGTCATCTATTATCTTAAATCGAATTGATGGTAAAGTCGTTCCATCATCTCACAGCGTCTCCAAGATGCATAACGGTTTAAATTTATCCTTGATAGACACATTCTCTAAAATATATATATTAGAATATTGTTACATTATATACTATGATTTTATAAATAACATATTGATATATCATCAGAAAACATACCCCCGTCAATTGCTACACACCAATCGGTTAACACACATACAGCAAAAGGACCTTCGTATTCTCTACACTATCTCTTATTTCAGTTGCCAACTCACCGTGTGCAACACACTCAAGCATAAATTTCCTATATTTTGACAAACAATGTAGTTAAGAATTAGTTAGTTAGACTTCAAACATATAGTTTGAGATATACTTACTCGTCATCTATTATCTTAAATCGAATTGATGATGAAGTCGTTCCATCCTGATCACAGCGTCTCCAAGATGCATAAAAGCTTTTAGCAATCTCACCGGATAATTCACAACTCAAATTAACACCATTAAATTAAAACATGTCACACATAATCAGCTAGACAGAACAAATAAATGATAATATACAGTTTATCAACACTCAGCAGATAGTACCGTTTATCCCTCAGACAGAATGTTACAGTTGAATATGCACTCCATTTTTTGGAATCATATACATCATTACATGGACTGCCATAGGAAGGAACAGGATGCTCTTCAGAGAGTAAACTACATCACGTCCCAGATCGACTTACATTTAAAACTCGACCTATCAAATCTTCATAAACAATAAAAACTAAACCATATTAACATCAGCAACATAATAATAACGAAATTCAACATCTAAACCGAAAATAAACACACCAACTAAATAATCATCATCATGGGTACGATCCAATATCCTTTGAAAATCAACAAAGTCAAAATAAGCGTTTTCACTCCACGTGAAGTCTTGTCAATGATAGTTGATGGTAGGAACAATATTTTGTATCTATGAGAAATCAGTCTACAACTATCCTCACACTCGATAACAGAAAAACGACTGATAATAATCCAACTACCAACATCTATGCGAGACGCTGCGACATCGATCTCACCATCTCTAACAGTGGCCTGAATTTTAACACCCTGTGAATAAAACAGTCAATTAGACATCAATACAATTTTATAATATTTTTCTCATAATATAATAAATACTTGTTCATCCGATAATATGAGCTCTAGGGAAGAATGTTTTAAAATTAGCATATGCACCCACGTCTGTAAAACCTTAACAAAGATAGTACAACCATCTTTGGAAGGTCTCCAACGGGACACACACCCTCCAAAACACATTGAATCAAGAGAAACTGTATAAGTACACACCAAATTCTGGTGTCCCGATATACTAATATTCTTTTCGATGAGTATATCATTTGGTTCGACATTTTGGTGATCCTCACTATCATCGTCACTCTCAGTCTCATCATCCAACATAACATCTTCATCATCATCCTCATCATCATCAGTCGAATCAGCATCGTCATCATCTTCATCTTCATCATTACCACTATCACCTTCCGAGTTATCACTTGAACCATCAGATCCTTCACAAGACTCACCGTCGTCAATAAAATCATCTTCAGAATTGTATTCATCTGTTTGGTCCATATCATCGGTATCATCGTGCGACTCGGCATCAGACCCCATGTAATCCTCAAAACCATAATCATCATCAGTACCACGGCCAGATAGCACCTCGGTTTCATCATACTCATTATCTTCTGCATAGATAAACATATGAAAAAACAACGTAGTTAGAATTTAAAAATAAATATTAAAAAAGGGAAAAAATGGTGCTCAAAGCAAAAAACGAACCATTGAAACCATTAGATTCTTTATTTATAATCCAAGCCTTCCTCGCAAAATCCCAAAGAAAGGTCTTGTGACCATGATCGCTCGAATTAACATGATCAGAACCTAAATGCACAAAACGAACATCAGAACAAACATAAACACATATAAAAAATTTAATGTACATCATTTACAAAATTATATTACATGAAGAGCAGAAATACCTCCTTTGATCAAAAACTTCTGATCAAGAATATATATATAATACGCGAATCAAGATCTATATAAAAAATGAATACGTTCGTAGATTAATATATAGTAAAGATACGAAATTGTAAGATTAAGATACAACACTACGAAAGGTACAAAATTGTAAGATTAATATACAATACTGCGAACCTTCGATTAAAGGATTATATGTCCGCAAGGTCCACTCGTTGATAGCAAGATCCATAAGCAACTTGCATGGATAACCTAAAAATACAATATAATTACTAATAAGTATTATAACTTGCATGAATAACCTAAAAAGGCACAACAACCTTTTTTGTGATATTGACGAAAACATATGGAGTTACGTAACGATAATCAGGTATCTTTTTTTGATCCATATCCTGGCGATATGAATTCAACATAGATCTTAACTCGCGAGCATAAGCCTGGTTATCAAAACCTATGGACGAAAAAAAATTTAGAATCATTAAAAACGTAGAGAGCATATATATTATTATTAATTTGAGGAGAGCTAGATATATACCCGAAGCAGTAGACGAAACTTTCTAAGTAATCATGACTTTTGATGGATGATCAAAGCTGTACTTAGACAATACATGGTTAGGTTTGCATGCAAATAGACAAACATGATGAATTTTTTCTAAAGAGATCCAAAAAGTTAATGCTATTATAAAAACCCTAGCAAAATAAACACGGAACTCTAACAGAGAAACTAAACTGTAAATTATGAGACGGTTGTTTTAAAACACTCATATTTATACGTGTAAACAACCTAGGGTTTATTTTTTTATGAAAAATACTAAAAGGTAATTCTTGTTCTATATACGATATTATCTTCCCATGAATTTTATAGTTATTAACTATAAAAAATGTAAAGATTCCATTCTAGATAATAACAAAGGAAGATGACATATTTCTATTTGCAAAATATTTAAAACACTCATATTTATACGTGTAAACAACCTAGGGTTTTGTTTTTTTATGAAAAATACTAAAATGTAATTCTTGTTCTATATACGATATTATCTTCCCATGAATTTTATAATTATTAACTAAAAAAAAATGTAAAAATTCTATTCTAGGTAATAACAAAGGAAATTATGACATATTTCCGTTTGCAAAATATTTAGTAAATAAAAATTATTTCCGAACATTGAATTGTAACAAAAATATAAAAATTAAAAAAAAATCTAACTCCATGACTCGAACCAGTGAGCTTTCGCTGAACGGACAAAGCACCTAACCAACACAGCTACCATCTCATTCAATGTAAATGATATATTGGAAAGTATGTATAATGTTTCTGTATTTCCACGCAGAGTAACCAATCACCAAAACCCTAGAACAAAACGTAAAAAAAAAATAGTAAATGAATGTAAGCGGAGGCAGAAAATATTTATTTATATAGAAAACGATTCCGGGTTTATGTGTGTTCCTTATTTATTTGTTCATTATTGATGTGATCAACTATTTCTTTATAACTATCACAAACATTGGCTTGTGCTCACTTTTCTCTAGATCTGATCCACGATTGGTTAAAAAAATTGATTTAAAAAGAGAGAAATTTAGAAAAAAAAACAATTAAATTAGTCTAAGATTCGAACTTGCTACCTATGAGATAAAAATTCGGGTCACTAACCATTGTAGTTTGTGTTATTTTTTTGTTAACTAATCAGCAGTTAAATATATATATTTTTATTGTCGACATCTACTCCATGTTTTGTTGTGTATTAATTATGGAATATTTCTTTTTAATCAGATTTTCTTTTTAATTGCAGAATAATCAACTGACCAATCAGAATAGAGTATTTTCATTAATGGCATAAGTGTAATTTAACACATTCCACTAAAACAACAGAAAATATAATAATAATTAATTTATATCAACCAATCAGAACATAACATCAGCTGACCAATCAGAACATAAGGATTTCATTAATCAAAACGACACAAAAATCTGTGCGTTAAACCACAGCTCAATTCACTTCACAAATACTATAATAGATTATTTGTTCATTATTGTTGTGATCAACTATTTCTTTATAACTATCACAAACATTGGCTTGTGCTCACTTTTCTCTAGATCTGATCCACGATTGGTTAAAAAAATTGATTTAAAAAGAGAGAAATTTAGAAAAAAAAACAATTAAATTAGTCTAAGATTCGAACTTGCTACCTATGAGATAAAAATTCGGGTCACTAACCATTGTAGTTTGTGTTATTTTTTTGTTAACTAATCAGCAGTTAAATATATATATTTTTATTGTCGACATCTACTCCATATTTTGTTGTGTATTAATTATGAAATATTTCTTTTTAATCAGATTTTCTTTTTATTTGCAGAATAATCAACTGACCAATCAGAATAGAGTATTTTCATTAATGGCATAAGTGTAATTTAACACATTCCACTAAAACAACAGAAAATAATAATAATTAATTTATATCAACCAATCAGAACATAACATAAGCTGACCAATCAGAACATAAGGATTTCATTAATCAAAACGACACAAAAATCTGTGCGTTAAACCACAGCTCAATTCACTTCACAAATACTATAATAGATATAAATCAAATTACATAAAAACAACAATACATGAAACTAAACATATAAAATAGTAAACAACAAAGATGAATTTTACTGATTTGTTTATTCGAGTTTTCTTTGCTGAGAAGTATCCACACTTTCTTTCTTCATAATCGCATTTGATCTGATGCGATTTTTTTTTTGCTGTGATCCATTTTTTCTTCTGATTTTACTGTTATGTAACCGAACCAGACACACCAAATTTTGTTTTTATTTAGATTCCACACTATATATGAATAAAAATAAATTATTTTAAATTTTAATTTTTATAATCCTTGTAAATATGACATGTACAATTAGATTCTAAACTTAAACTCATGTATAGTTTATTCAAAAATTATGTTTTGTAATTCGCAGTTAAAAGAATCCGAAATTTATCCACATTACCTATGAACAATCCTTATTCATGAGCATGTTCAGAAAAACAAATTTTAAATTTTAAATATATTTTAAATAAATTTAATTTATATATTATGGATTTAAGAGTTTATATTTTTTGATTTTTGATTTCTAATTTTACATATTTTATCTTTTTGATCTTATTAGTTTCCTTTTTTAGTCACCGTTTCTTTTTTTCTTTTTGTTATTTTTCTATTTAAAAATAATAACTAAAAACTAAAAAAATTATATGGTTACAGTAACACATATCAAAATCATAAATAACTGTGATACATTAGTACAATCTGGTGAGTTATAAAAAATTTCTGTCAGTCTCATATCAAACATGCTAAACATTATGTAATAAGATTATTTGTATGCAATAAAATCAATCGCTATGAGGAATGAAAACTGAATTACAAACAAAAAGGAAGAAGAGTACCACCAATGTCTGGACTGACGTCGGCCGGTATTTTTGTGTTAAGTGAAAACTAATAAAATAGAAAAACTAAAGTAAGAAAAAAAATAATACAGGCACTAATTCTAGTTTAGTAGAATGTCTCAACTTTCAACAGTAATAGTTATTAAATGACATATATCAAAATCAGGAGCATAAAACTCTCTCTCTCTTCTCTCTCTAAAAATCTTTCACAGAAAGAGACTGTTCTCTTTTTGTTTATATTCTTTTTTGTTATTCCGTTTGATCGGAGAATAAGTTCCGACAAAACCGATTTTATGTGTTATACTTCCTTCCCGTTCATCGGATTTAGTGCTTCCGACTTGTTTGGATTTAGTTTTTATCCTTTTGCATGCTATCTTTGACTCTTCTTTATGAAGTAGTCAAATTCCAAAAGTAGTCGATGTGGTATTGATTCACCGTTACTTGCTATTTCTTCCATGAACCATAAATCCTCGCTTTACCCAAAAGGTTTTATTGAGCGAAGGCACTTCATGGTAGATGTATCAAGATGATGCGGCTTGATTAGAGAGGATTATGAAGATCTAGATTTTCTCGCCGTGTTTTGGTGGTCATCTAGAGAATACTCCGGCTCCGGTCAACCGAGGTTTATTCCGGTGTTTCAAGTTTGCTATAATCGATCTCATCCGGCAAAACTGCAAAAGGATCTTGCAGTACATACTGGCATAAGTTGAAGTTTCACGGCGGCGACGACAAGATTTTTTTATTGACGTCGTAAGACTACGACGGAGATGACATGTCTGATGAAGCTTTAGTTCTTATCTTCTCCAGCGGTCACGTGGGGATGAAACTCTCCACTTAATACACGTGTCTTGTTTAAGTTTCATGTCTATCTTAATTTCTTTGATAACGTATGTAATCCATTGGGCTAGTATTTGGACCAAATGTTGTACCGTTTCTGACCTTTGTGCCTTAATGAAATAGTTGACAAAAAAAATGATATATATCAAAAAGTCCCCGTTTTTCGTTAATAAAAACTAAAACAGCAACAAAAAAAAACAATCTTATCTTATCTTCTTATCTTATACTAATAAATGCTTTTAAAGGTGTCCACATAGGATTTAAAAGTGTAATTCTATTGGTCCACATCAGCATTCGAAAATTAAGGAAAGTTTACAAATTCTAATATTATTACTAAATAAAGAAATTAAAAAAATTTACAAATTCGAATATTATTGCTGGATAAAGAAATTCTGTAGAATTTTTTTTATTGGTCCAATTCAACATTGAAAATTAAAAATTTCCAAATTCTATTATTGTTTTTAAAAATTATTAAAGATAAAGAAATTATATACAAACTTTATATTAAAATAAAAAACTAAAATTAATCATATTATATATATACACACATATTTAGAAACTTTTACGTTAGCATCCAAATTTTTGTCACATAACTATAATAGATTTTAAGTTTTTTTTTTCTGTGTGTGCAACCATTTCAAATAAAAACATAAAACAAAAAATAGAGTTAGGTTTCATGCAATGTCAAAGAACCAACTTGATTAAACTATATGTTTAACTATAATGAAAGGAGATATAAACAAAGCCATTACAAGCTGCTTTAATATTGAAAAAGAAACCGTAAAATCTCCAAAGCTTGGCTACCGAATTTGAGAAAATAATAAATTTCAAGCAATCCGAGAAACATGTTAAGTGACTGATAGTTGACATGTTTGAAAAACGAAACACTGAAAATAGAGAAAGAGGTTACATCATTAAGACTGATATATTCATAAATTGCATCATTTAATGTACATATTCTAGTCCAAATCAT